ATTCCTTTATGTGCCCTGACCAGGGATGGACCCGGCAATGTTGGCGTTTCTAGATGTAGCTCCAACCAACGGAGCTAACCACCACCGGGGCCACAAGCACTTCAGTGCTTATCTCTGTGGGGTTTGTTTTTTTAATCTCTCTCTCTATGGCTTTTGTTTTTTTCTTTTGTTTTTTGTGTTTTTGTTTTCTTTACGGTGTGCACTTTGTTGAACTGGTCTCAAGTCAGGGACTCGGCAATGTTGGCGTTTCTGGATGTAGCTCCAACCAGCGGAGCTAACCACCACCGGGGCCACAAGCACTTCAGTGCTTATCTCTGTGGGGTTTGTTTTTTTAATCTCTCTCTCTATGGCTTTTGTTTTTTTCTTTTGTTTTTTGTGTTTTTGTTTTCTTTACGGTGTGCACTTTGTTGAACTGGTCTCAAGTCAGTCAGTGCACAGGTAAGCCCTGCTTGGCTACCTCCACACCTCAACCCACTCCCAGGGGGCCAAAAGCCTTCATACATCTCAAGTTGGGGACAAGAAAGGAGGGCCACGATGGCTGGCCATTCAAAATAAAACAAAAATAACAGGTATTAAGGCGAAGATTAAAAAATTTGGATTACATTTACACATCCGCCACATTGTAGAACTTTGGGGGTGCTCGCTCCAACAGACTGCTGTCACCCTCACCGTGCTAGTTTTTAAACCCTGAGCCAAGCGCCCACCCCGCCAAAATCAAACAAACAAACAGTCCGCCTAGAAGCATTTGCATGGACGATGGTGGGGCCGGACTCCTCATACCCCTGCTTGGTGCTCCACATCAGCTGGAAGGTGGACGGCGAGACCAGGATGGAGACTTGCGCTACGGGGCGCAATGGTCTTGATCTTCATCGTGCAGGTCGTGCCGGGAGCCAGAGCGGAGATCTCCTTCTGCATCCTGTCGGCGGTGCCGGGTGCATGGTGGTTCCACCAGACAGCACCGTGTGGCAGCGGCACCGCTTGTTGCCCATGGCGATGGCCTCCCTGTCCGGCAGCTTGCAGCTCTTCTCCAGGGAGGAGCTGGAGGCCGCTGGGGCATCTCCTGCTCCAAGTCCAGGGCGATGCAGCACAGCTGCTCCTGGATGTCGCGCACCATCTCCCGCTGGGCGGTGGTGGTGAAGCTATAGCCATGCTCTGTGAGCACCTTCATGAGGTAGCTCAACAGTCCAGATGCAGGATGTGGGTGACTCCATCCCCAGAGTCCATCATGATGCCAGTGGCACGGCCTGGATGGCCACGCACATGGTGGGGTGTTGAGGTCTCTAACATGATCTGGGTCATCTTCTCACGGTTGGCCTTGGGGTTCAGACGGGCCTTGGTGAGCAGAACAGGGTGCTCCTCAGGGGCCACATGCCCCCCATCCCCACCCCCACAGCTCATTGTAGAAAGTGTGATGCCAGATCTTCTCCCTGTCGTCCCAGTGGGTGGCGATGCCGTGCCCGATGGGGTATTCAGGGTCAGGGTGGCTCTCTTGCTCTGGGCCTCATCACCCACGTAGGAGTCCTTCTGGCCCATACCCACCATCACGCCCTGGTGCCAGGGGCACCCCACATAGAGGAGACAGATGGCCCTGGGGGCATCCCCCCCAAAGCCTGCTCTGCGCAAGCTGGAGCTGGTGTGGTCCACATGCGCAGCAATATCATCATCCATGGTGAGCAGGGTGGTGTGGGTCGAGGAAGGTGGAAGAGGCCAAGTCTGGTGGCGGTCAGAAGGCTCTCTATGGAGAGAAACCAAGATGGCGGCATAGGTAAACACCGGAAATTGCTGCCTCGCACAACCACTTCAAAAATACAACTAAAAGACAAAACGAACATCATCCAGAACCACAGGAAGGCTGGCTGAGTGGAAATTCTACAACTAAAAGGAAAGAGAAAAGCACACTGAGACTCAGAGGAGGTGTGGAAGTAAAGCACAGAGGT